TTTTTTTTTTTTTTTTTGTTTTTCACATAATTATTTAACAGTTATATCAATAATTGTTGTTATGTTGTTTGTTTTCTTGTGTTTTTATCTGTTTGTTTATTTGTTTCTTTATTTGGTCTATTAATTGTTTTTCTATTAGAATATTCAAAAGATACGCAAATTTGTGCTTTAAATATACCAATAATTTATTGCTATAAATGTGTTAATGAAAAATTGCTATTATTACAGTTTTATCAGTCATTGTTTCCGATACTATTAATGGTTTTCCTACAATAAGATGAGCGTTTTTCTTGTTTTTTTTCTTTTTGCATAAATCAATTAGTTAATTCTTATTCATTTGATATATGTACCGTTTTCTTTTTTCTTCTGCTTTTTTTGTTCACATACAAAAGTGAAGTAAGAGTGTAAAATCTAAGTCTGTGTGCTAGTGTGTGCTTGTATCAAAGTTTAGCAAGTCATTACAACAACCGACTGAGAATAGCAGTAATAAACAGATACTGATACACATCGATGCATAAGGCTTCTTACTAAACAACACAAACATAGGCATATATACAGCTACACACAGAAACATATATTTTTTTTATACCTGCCATGTGGTTAGGTATCGGACAAAGATCAATGGCACAACAATTCTCAGTCCCGACAATAATGCTAAGCGATCACTAAAACAAAAAATTCATTCACAAATTTAAATAGCATCGTAAAAGTTGACGTCCTTGAAGGTTAAAACAATAGTAGTAATGCAAATAAGTGGTAACAGAAATAAAAAAAGAAAAAAAGATGAATGAAATTTAATAACGACCATAGTAATGAAATATAACTTACACCCTTTTTATAAATTTTCTTTTTTCGCTCTTGTTTTTAATCTAATTCACAAAAAAAAAGTTGTTCTTCTTTCCTCACATATAAATGGTCTTTAACTACCCGTTATATAAATGCGCACAAAGTTAGAAGAGTTGTTAAGAAATTGATAAACGACAAAACAAATTTACGATTTAGGGTAAAGAGTGGCAGATGCAATTTCGACGTATATTCTACAGAGACTATGACCTATGATAAGAAACGTTAAAATTTCTGTAGAAACAATTTTCTTTTTGAAGAAAAATATAGCAATGGACCAATTACTTTTCGAGGAGAAAGTTTATTGAAGCAAAAAAAACTAAATTTTTAACACTCAATCAATTACTAATCTGTTACTGCTGTACTGTCGGAATACATAAACAGTGATAAATCAGTGTTTCGCTTTCTCTTTATAAAAGAATTTCCTCAGTCCTCTACTACAGTCACCAGAATATTACTGTTTACAAATGCCTATTTTTAAGAGATTTAAAATCACCCAAGTTGACAAGG